TATCAAATTTGTTTCTTTTTCAAACTTCTAAAATTTATGTACACAGTTAAACATAGTTGGCTGATTTGGAGTAGAGGTTCCTTATTAATGGCAATAATTAACTTTATTTGAACAGTGCTTGTCAAACTGAGCAAAGCTCATAAATTTAAGTACTGCTTTTCCCTTTTATGTAAACCAGGCCCTCTAAATTATTAGCATTGGCTTTAACAATCAAATACCTGACCTCAAATCTAAAATCAACCAAGATTTTTAATGGTTAAAAGAATGCGTTAGCAGAGGACACAGCTGAAGATACATTATACTGTCAAGTGTGATGTTGTGGATAAATGATGAATTTTACAATCTTGCTGATACACCTTGTCTCTTTTTGGTCAATGTCAGTCGCATGAATACTTTCTGTCTCGCCCCACAAACCCCGCAGTGCCAATGTGTAATGCATGTAGAAATCCGTACAAAATGTTACATATTGGTCTCTTAATGTGCGTAGTATGCATTGAATGTGCATCTGACGCATTATAAAAGTTTAGCCTAGGGGTCTGCTTTTGTCTGAATGTCTATCACAGCGGATATTGACAACGCTGCCAGTCTCATTAAGTCGTCATCTGGTCAATAATTCATCATATAGCTACAACATCACAACAAGTTACAACAATAAACTTTGGAAAAATACTCAGTACAAAGAAAGTTTAAGTCCACACATATTATTGAAAACAGCAGTTAAGCTAGCTGCACTGAAAAGTGCAAGATAGCACATAGAGAAAAGCATTAAAATATTTGCTTACAGTTTAAAGAAAGAGTCACTTTTCCCAGGATTGAATGGTTCTACAAAAATAATTAACCAGCCAACAATTTCTATTGCAAGTGAGTCGTCTTGCAGAGCAGTTTCCAGACCATAAAAAGGTACCCTTGAAATTTCATGTGCAGAAAATAAATTAATTTTACGATCATGTCCCTTGAATTATTCCTTGAGAAACACAATGAAGTTAAAAATACACAATATACAAAGCTCATTCACAGCGCTCAATAGACATCTAGGTCCAAACAATAACATGCAGTTAATTACAAAATACTATGATTTTATATTACATAAGTGTCTGGTCAAACAGTTGCACAGAAAATACATCTAATATGCATCCAAAATTTGAGACAAGGGCATAAAGAGAAATTACTCACAAAGAGGTGATGAATTTTAGAAAAAGTGAGAAAGTATTGCCTATACGAGAATCACAGCGTTTATCTTTCAATATGACTTGGCCTCTTGCAAGTGTAAGAAGACCAGTCATGCATTTCCTGCAATGAAATACATTACAATAGGGAGGTTTTCACACATATAGACAGACTGTAAACAAATTGCATTGTTTCACATGGCAAGAATGCATGTGCCTAAAAATTAACACAATATTTACATAACAAACATAGATTAATTACAAAATTTACAAATGTTGTTATGTTTAGCATTAATAGCACCATTCTTAAAATGACATTGTAAGATTAGTTTTTGGATTTGGACTGGCGGTTAACCCTCCCTACATCAAAAATATTGAGGAAAGTAAGACGACTTAACACCATTTTCAATTTCAGTTCCACACAAACATTTTTCTTGGAGAACAATAAATAATAAAGGGATGAAAACCATCCGTACGGGCCACACAGACAACCCAAACCCACGATGTGATTTAATTATACCACTACTACAGGACCAGAAATACTAAATTTTGTAATGAAAAAAATTCAAAACAAGTTATTGAAAAAGTATAGCGGAAATTGAGAGAAAGCTAAGATATACTTCTGTGGTTGTAAAAGCATTTAAAAAATCATGTGACTTACAAAAAAATACTCTTTAACTAATGGTTTAGTGACTAATTAGCTGCCAATTTTAGAATGCTGGAAACTACTTTAGTATAGCAATTTAAGGCACACACAACATTGTCTTAGATATACTTTTATAAATAATCCTAAGAACAGAAAAGCAACATATATTATATTGGCTCTTTTAAAAAATGGAAGTCTTCAGAATAACCATGGAGAAAGTAAGGAAGGCTTCTGCTCCAGGTAAATACCATGCATAAATTACGTCAGTGTCTCCCAGCAGAAAATTGGTAAAAGACTGAGACAAAGAGTGAGAAATTTAGGAGTGGTAACATACACAATTAAATTGCAGCAATATTAAGTTTCAGTTACATTCTTTCTCAACAGTATGAAAGGAAAACAAAGATTAAAAAAGACTAACAAATATTTCCTTCAAGAGCAAGCAATTGGAGGGTTTTGAATGACTAGACCCAACCTCCTGTGAGCTTATGGAATAAATCTTCATTTAGAGTCTGATTGGCTTCTTTAGATCGCATTGAAAGGAAAATATAGCCACCAATAAATTCATGAATGACTTTGCAGTCAGCTGACAAACAACTAAATATAATATTGCCCTCTTCAAATTGGACCATCATATGCTTGACCTCCCAATTTACATTCCATGCCTGTAAAGAGTAAAAGTAGAATCATTTATTTTTTGATATCCGTTTAAAAATCCATGTCCATTAGATGTTACTATGCATGAAAAACGAGGTTGGTACCTTTATGGTGTTATACCGCCAGGTCTGAATGTGGTCACCAGTGTTTATATCCATTCTCATCAGACGATTACTGGCTACTCCTAAGAGCTCCTCCTTTTTGTGTCCCATCATCTTAATTATAAATAGGGAAATGCCATGCTCAGGTAACGATTGCCAAGCTTTAATGTAATTCATTTTGGCATCAATAAGGGGCAGGTCCTTAACATTTGCATGTGCTTCAAGAATCCTCTGAACAAGCTATGAAAAAGAAAAAAATCATTGCAATTAGTGGTAACAAATGTAAAAGTGCTAAAGTTCATTCAAGGAACAGATGTATCTCACTTTTCCCTTCAGTTTCCTCACAAATCGTGGCGCCACATAGTCTTCAGGATTAATGTCTAGTGATTGAGGGTTTATTACAGGGGCTGGAGCAGGATGCTGAAGTTGCAGAAATGCTAGGATTGATCTCACTTCAGCATCATAAGAGCTGTCAGCCAGAGATCTCCCTTTGGCGGCTAGTCGACAAGCAGCCATCCACTTAGCATACTGTTCTTCCTATAAAAAAAGAATAATATTTCTGTTATAAAGAAATACAAAAACAACAAAGAAAGTACTTTTGGACAAGGCCACAACAAAAACACTTACCGTATCACAACGGATCTTCATCTCTGACATTCCCTCTGCACTTGGAACCTCAAGCTTTATGTCATATTTTCTTTGTTGGAGATTTACTTCAGGTGTAACTTCACACCCGCGTAGATTTATTGTGTACTGGGGAGCAGCCCCAGCTTTTGCTTCTTCTTGACTTTTATAAAGGCTTAAGTGAAGGTCTCGACATGCAAACCAGTATCGCTTATAAGCCCGCAGTGTAAATCGTTTCGGCCTAAATGATACAAAATACATCAATATATTTTTACAAAACATATAAATCCCAGATTAAAAATCTGCTGTTTTAAAAGAACCTTACTTTAGAAAACGCAGGTAGTTAAAGAGCTCTGGTACATGAGTGATGTCACCCCCATTGCTTATATGAGTTCCTTCCAGAGTAACTTGAAGATCTAATAAGGCAGCATCAATATCATCTTCAGCAGTGCCATTTGTATTTTCCGACTGTGGTTGTGGTACTCCAGCTTGTAAGTTGACTTGCACCTAACACAGAGAATGTTGAATTAATATTTTGCATGTTATACTTTTAGAACCAACAAGCCAGATCCTTTTAATTGATTTTCAATATATGTACCTGAAGTGCAGCAAACATTAGGGACTCCTCCTCAGTGCAATCTATTTCTTCATTCAACAGCTGCCACTTGGCCTGCTCATAGATTTGATTGATGCGTACTGCGTCAATAGTAGGATTAAGATCATAAAATGAATAGAATTTGAAGCGAAGGCACAATGTATCGTATTCCCGTACACCTTGCTCCATAATAGACAAGGATGAATCAAGCCACCTGAAGAAATAAAAATTCAACCATCAATTGACGATTCCAAAAGATATAATGATGAAGAAAAAGTTTAAATCACAGTGTACAGCACTTACGCAACGTTCATGCGCGCGCGCTCGACCAGGGACTTGGGGCGGACAAGGCGCGACCGCGCTTCTTGGCTGGGCGTGACAGGGCTCTGCGCGAGGGAGGCGTCCAGGCTGCCGTTGAGCGACTCCAGGGTAATGTTGTGATGGGCGTTGAGGGGGGCGTAGGTCCCATTCAGGTCCGTGTGCATGCCCCTCTTCAGCGTGTTCTGATTCTGTCAAACAAAACACATGTGTATTTGCCCCAAAAGCACACGGGCAGTAGTGTGGTGCTGCGCGCTGCGTGGACTCACCGTGCCGAGCGGCGAGCTGATGGGGGTGGAGGTGTGCGAGCGGGTGGGGGTGACGGGCGCGCACAGGAAGGGCTTGTCCAGGCTGCCGTTGGAGCCGGCCGGGGAGCCGGTGGCGATGAACGTGTTGGTGTCGGCGGGCGGGTGCGTCTGGCCGTTGATGCGCGCGTCGCCGTTGCGCACCTTCTTGTCCTTGAGGTTGTGCTTGAGGTGCTGCGGCTCCAGCGGCTTGCTCAGCGACAGCTCCTCGGCGTGCCGCACACCTGGACGGGCAGGGACACAGAGCAGAGCGTTAGCGTCATCGACAGGAGGCACACTCACTCCCACGAGCGCGCGCCGGCCTACGGCCGCGGAGGACTCACCCAGCTCCTTGCACAGCTGCCCCACGGCGGTGAAGGTCTTGACGGAGAAGTCGACCTTGGTGTCGAGGTAGCGCAGGTCGGGCAGCTGCACGCGCACCGTCTTGTGCATGGGCGTGAAGTGCAGGCGCGCGTCGGCCTGCACGCCGCACTGGTCCAGCGTGGAGCGCGTGCGCGCCAGCCAGCAGTTGCGCTCGGGCCACCACAGCGCGTGGTCGGACCAGTCCATTGACACCTCTGCGACAGACACAAGGGACACATTCAGACATGAGGTAGGCAATCAGGACGGGAGGCGACCACGGCGGCTTTACGGACTTGCCGCCCGCACTCGCCGCTCTCTCCCTGTACTGGCGGCGCCCCCCGCGGGACTCGCCGCCACTCAGACACAGACTGGAAGGAAATAAAGATAAAAGCGAAGCGCTTGCTCCCCAGGCGAGGGGGCTGCTGCAGGCCGGGCCGGAAGACATCTGCTTCAAGCGCAGGGGGCCCTGGGCGCGTGCCCCGCCCCGCCCCGCCCCGCCCCGCCCCGCCACTCGCGCGAATGCCCGGACAGACCAGACCAGTCCCGCACATGTGCCTCGCGCTGGCTGCACGGTACCCCGGCGGCTGCATACGCCACGGGGTGCAACATCACGGCCTGTTTGTAGCGGGCGAGGCGCGGGGCGGGGACGACATTTACGAACCAGCCTCGGCCGCTCCCCTGCCCTTCAAAGTGGAGGAGCACTCTTTCCGCTGCCCCCGCAGGGGCCCTAGGGACGACACGCTGAGCCGGGGCGCGCCGACCGAGGCCCCCGCGAGAAGGGTTGGGGGGGGGGGCGGCCTTGACTCGTACCCTCCCGAAACCAACGCGCTAGCCCTGCCGGAGCAGGCCGACCCGTCAACCCTTCGGGTATGAGTGCACGACGCTCACTGACTGAGTAACAAGGTAGACGCACGTTAAAACCGTGTGAAGCTGAGCTAAATGTGCGTCTACCTTGGCCTGCGGCGCGCTAAAATTAAAATGTTTTCGCGATTTTGGTTGGCATGCCCACGTCTCACGCCAGGCGCCTCACTTCACGCCGTCTTCCGGGCGGTCTCCCTTGCGCTTCCTGACAGAGCTGAGCATTTAAAGTTAAAGTTTTATTTCAAGTTCAATTTAAGCTCAGCAATGAGGGGACAGTAGTCTGTAGTCTGCCATCATCTTTTCAGCTTGAGGACGCTATTACAGGAAGGTCGCTCGCTTCCGGGCGGGACTGGGACATTGCCCTGGTGCCCCTCCCCTTCCTCCACACCATGTGGGGGGGGGGGGGGGTTACCCCTTGCGGACTGACGCACACTCCTCTCGCACGCACACACAGTAGTTCTACGAAAACAAAACATAGGAGAAATTAAATTTCATTAACTCGGCGCGACGCCCTGCTGTGCCGCTGCTGCCGCTCCCCGATGGAATGATAACGCATTGGAAACGAGACGAGCCGCACGAGATATGGGCGGCAGCGACCGCGTAGCGGGGTGTGGTAATGAAACATGACCCATCAGATCGTAATTGAATTAGGCCAACTGGAACTACCGCCACCACCACGAGGGTCCGGCCGTGCGTTGCTCGGGACCCTCGATCTGGCGCTCGACTCGGCCCGCCTCCGCTGAGTCCTTCGCGAGCTCTCACAGCGCCTGGCAGGTAGGCAACATCTCGCCTGAAGTGCATACGCGTACTGCGGGGCGGCCTACCCCGAGTCTCGCAGGCGCCGAGCTCCCGTGTAAATTTGCCGAAAGCATCGAGAGGAAAACGGACGTATGCTTTCTGCCCGATAACCTCGCGGAGGCGTCGCGGCGGTCGGAACCGTGTCAAGGCCACTGCGCCGCGCCGCGCCCGCGCCCCGGGGTGCCTATCCTGGTCCTGTAGTTGGACCCCCCGGGCCTGGGCCCGGTTCGGCCCGGATCAGGAAACACGCTCGGGCGGGCGAGGCGCGGCATGGCGCTCCGATCAAACAATAGGCAATTCAGCGCTCACGCCTCCGCTGCGCGCCGCCACTGCAGCACAGCAGCTCTCCTACACTTGGCCCGCTCGCTCGGTCAGCAGTATACCGTTCGCACCTCGCGGGGCTCGGCGAGAGAGGCGCGCGTCGCGCGTGGCTGGCTGTTCAGTCCTCCTGCTGCGCAGTGGACCCCAACCGCCCCGATTGTCGAGGTTTAGGCGGCACCGCACACACGCGGCGAGTGGGCTGTGGGGACCCTTTGAGTGACGCAGCACGCGACACGGGAATAAAGAACTAGAGAACGAGAGCACCTCACACCTCACCTAGCTTTCCCTACGCGTCACCCTCTCTCCGCGAAACGACGACGCGCACTATATACGCGGTGCACGGAGTAAACTGGGCAGATTGTGGCTCAAGTGGTCGGGGCGCCGCCGTCGTGCGCACGGCCAGCAGCGGCGGCGGCAACTGCAGGCGCTAACGACGGCCATTCGGACGGCAGGCGCGAGATCACAGGGCGGCCGCGGGGCCCTCAGGACCCTCCTCCCCTCCAGCGGCCGCGAATCAGCGAGCCATTCATTCGGAGGCCCGGTTGGGGGGGGGGGGGTCTCGCGTGCAAGAGGACGAGCAGCACCTGTCGCCCGTCCACAACAGTGAGAGGCGTATGCTGTTGTCGCCCCCGCCCGACGGCACGAATAGATCAACAAGTCAGACGGTCAGCACGTATGGTTGTCAGCCGCGCGCGCCACAAGCCCTGGCGGGCCCCGCCTGGCCTCGCCACCAATCGATGTACAGAAGGCAGAGGCGACTCGCTCGTGGACGTGAGGAGTAGTCAGTCAATTAGCCGTCCGTAAGGGGGGGG